AGGTTGTTTGGCAAGCATGGGATCAGGAAATTTAAATGTTTCAAGTGCTAATAACATCAAGCTGAAACATCCTGACACATGTCCTACCACAGGGCCAGCCTCCCTAATGCCAACAGAACAGCGGAGGTCTGAAAGCTTGCAGGTTACGCCTCCCTCTTTCTGAGACAATGCTAGGCCAGCATGGCCGCCATATGCATCAGGCTTTCTAGGCCTCCACCTTCTGGTTAGCCACGCTTCCATTCATTCCACGTGTCAATAAGCTAATGTCTCCTCTGTCAAGTCTGTCAGATACTCTCAGGCCCCAGAGCCCTTCTGTTGTGACAAGATGACTTTACCTATCTCTGATTGGGTCATTCATATGATGATTTCACAGTATAATTCTGTGAAAACTATCTTATTTCCTTCACTTTCAAGTTCCTGGAGGACAAGTCACTCTACCTCCTACCAATAGCAGTTTGGAGTAGGGACCAGGGCTGGAAGGACATTGGGAGAAATCGCTGCAGAATATAAGTGAGGCTGCAGAATGTTTTCTTACTCATCACCTACCTCTGCTTCAATTGGGCTTTCTGGAGCTGGCGCTCCCAAGAACCACAGCCTGGCTAGAAGATCCGGTCACTTATTTGACAGGCTTTAATCAAACCACCCATCAGAGCAGTGGTAGTATTTCCTGTCAATGTGAAGCATGCCGAATCCTTGTCCCTTCTGCTTCTCTCATGATAAAAAGCTGCTGAGCTGCCCATTGATTCTCCAAAGGAGTTACGGCTTTCAGCCCTGCATTAATCTGCTTCGGAAGAGCAGTGTGTTTATTTTTGAGATCTCCATCATGTTGACTTCCTTAAGTGTACTAGGTTCTCATCCCCTTAATTGGAGCAAAATTCCTTTAAAACAAACGTTAAAATAAATATGTTGGTGGGGAGGGCTGGTTGAGGAGGGAGTAAGTGCAAGTGCCTACAGCTCAGCTCCTTCTCATTCTCGGGCTCACTGAGCCCTTCGGCTTACTCAGCATATGTGCGTGTCTCTGACTGAAGTGGCATTTCTATTCTAGAAGAAGCAATAGTACAAAGTCATAGACCTGCATTGTAGAACCCTGTCTCAAAGCTCATGCGTGCCTGTGTTTATTTCCTCAGTACAAGTTTAGCAATGTCTCAGGAGACGGACATTCGGAAGGACACGCTCCAACGTTGAATACAAAGGGGTCGCCTTGGAAAAGATCCTTGCTTCCTCTTCTAGAACATGACAGGGCTGAATAAGATTATTTCTTAACTCCCTTTCAGCTCTCCATTTTTTATCACTCTTTCTGAATTACCTTACCTGCTATCTTTCCTCCTTTTCTTCCTTTCTTTCTATCTACCAATCATCTATTTATATTTCCCATGTGTTTTTGAGGTTGTTTCAGAGACTGGTTTAAGCTAATGAAGCCTAAATTTCATCCTCCTTCACTAGACTCCTTCTAAAAATGAAATTTAAAAAAAAAATCAATTTCAAATGTATCCAATTTTATATTTTGATGTTAGTCTTCTTTTTTTTTTTTTCAAAGAGACCTCCCAGATTTGTATAGCTTTAGGCCGCACAAAATTTGTGTTTGCCCCAGGGTGGCTTAGGAAAAAAGACAAATACAAATCAGAGTATTTAAATAAGAATTTAAAAAGGAAGATGGGAAGAAAAATAGAAAGAAAATAAGCCAAACATTAAACAAGTTTTACCCAGTTGAGCTTTTAGCTTCTGAGGTTCCTGGAAGGCAGGGTGGTGAGGACATCGGTAGGTCCTATAACTCTGGCTTTCAGGATGGAGTAAATGTTCAAAAAGAACAAAAATACTAATACTGAACTTGGAGAAATATTTCAGTGGAACATTTTGGAGGGGATAAGATAATACTAAGACCAAAAGTGGTATTTTCACTATGATAGATAAAAAACTTCTTAGAAATAAGTGATAGGTTTTTGCTCATATATAAATCCAGCAACTCCTCTGTATGAGGCATTGTCTTGGGCAGATAGGAGAGATACAGGAAAGGAGGAGACATGGCACTCATCTCAGGCAAACACACAATCATTAAAAATAAGTTGCTCACAGAGGCCTGTACAAAGAGGTGTGTGATCAGGAGGGACAGTGGCAATTTACATCAGGGAGATGAAGAAGGAAGGGAAGAAATAACTTCTGAATGCAATTTTTAAGGTAAAAATACCCTTTCCATAATAGTTGTCACTTCACAGGGAATGTTTAAAAAAAACTGCCAACGTGTGTCGCGACAGTTTTTTCTGAGCATGATCTGACTCTTAGTCCCATGGCTTATGGGAACTGTCACTTGCTAAGATAGAATCACATTCATTGATTCATCCTCCACAGACCCCAAAGAAACCCACCTCTCATGAAATGAATTGTATTGTAGCCTTCCTGTCTTATTTCCTTAAACATTTGAAAGATTTCTCATTACTTACTCATTGCTTTTTTACTGTATGTGATGGGTTTATTCAATTCTTTAGTTGTTTGTAGAGAAGCAAGGTGTTTGAACATTAAATTAGAAACATTAGGGGAAAAAATAACATTTGGAAATATACCAGTGGACAGACAGCCCTTGGCATTCAGCTCTTTTCAACTTCAAAAATCTTTATTCTAATGAACAGTTTAAAACAAAAAATCTTTTCTAAGCAATCCCCATTTCACACCAATGGAATAGAAAGTCACACCTGGTAGCACCTCAAAAAATTGTCAGCCACAAAATGAGGACGAGTCTGAATTTCAAGCATTCAAATGTTAGGTAATAGAAAACAGCTTCATGAGGAAAATAGCATCTTCTCATGGCCTTGATTGGCAGGGTTTGTCTGTCTAGCTGCAATGAGCATTTGTCCCCTAAACTGGCATCCCCAAAGGAATGGAAACATTTTTGCATCTTTCTGAAGTGTTCAACTCCAGCAAGCACTTCATCAAACCATCTTGCAGGTTGGCTCTCCACTGTGGCCTGCCCAACAACTTGAGAAATTCGCCTTGCATTATGCATGGGCCTCTAACTCCATGTAAGTTTGAAAACACATGAAAAGTCTCTTCCTGCCATCCTAACTTCCATTCTCTTTGATGGATTATGAAAGGCAAGCAGTTACTCGTGGTGGAGCAGGGTTTTCAATCATGGGGAAATTTGGAGTTTCTGCAATTGATACTAAAATTATGATGCTGCCATCATACCTCACTCAACAGGGGATTTGCAAAGGGGGAAAAAAATCAGCACCAAGTCACTGTCACGCTGCGGCAAAGATAGTCTACTGGAGTGTCGGGTCAGGAATTCAGCAGCCCTTTGTGGAAATCTTATTCAACTTGAAATTCAGTTCACAGCACAGAGTTAACACATGGAAATAGAAACTCAGGTTTTCAGTTTGGGTTGATCAGTGCTCGGGTAATTAAGCTGAAGCACCATGAACTCTGTGCATGTAAAATCAAGAGTTTGAATTTAGTAACTGAAACAAAGATTTCAGTCCTTCCAAGGTTTTTAAAAAATCGCAGTAAGTAATTTCTCCTCCCCCGCCCCCCCCCCTCACCACCAACTAAGAAATTGAAAAATAGCTCTTGGTTGTAAAGAACACAAAGCTATAAATCTCTGAGTAAGGTACAGTGATTAGTTAAAATAAGCAGAGGGCAGTCGTGCAAAGATAAATACTAAAATAGAAGTTTAATGTTTCCTACATTTAGCACCTGTTAGCACACTTCAGCCATGTGGAGAACAAGTCTGAACAGCTCATTAGCAACTATCATTTATTGACTAGGTACCATGTGTCAGACATTTTTATGGATTATCTCATTCAATCCTCACAGCAGCCCTATGCAGTAGATATTTTTAGCTCCTTTACAGATGAGGAAACAGGCGTAGAGACTGAGAACTTACCCAAAATCACCCAGCTAGTCAGTTGCAAAATAGGACCCTCACTCACTTCTGTTTGATTTCCATCTCATGCTCCACCCACACCACTCCCTGAATTTAATGGAGAAGATATAAATCTCTGACTTTTAATTAGCAATATCTATCACAGTGTTGCTTGCTTGATGAACCAACTAAATCAATAATAGTAATCATAGCAAAGATAGATATAGCACATACTACCTGCCAAGCAGGTAGCATGGTTTGAGTGCTTTACATATGACAATTTATGGAATCAATCCCTGCAGCAGCCGTAAGAGTCAGAAAACAGCCGAGAGCTTAAGCAACTTGTCCTAAAGTCACAGTCAGTGAGTGTAAGACTAAAGCTTCAAACCCAGACAGCCTGGCTCCCATGCCTCTGCTCTTGACTAGGAGTTTTCATCTGGATACACACTAAGTTCATGCCCATGGTTATACCAAATCCAGGCGCATTCTGAAATGGTTCCACCACCTTAGCCCAATGTGTAAATTAAAGTAGAAGCTGAAAAAAATCAATGAAGTCCGTGATCAATATGAACAACCTAATGTATTCTTGAATTATTCTGCTCAATTAAGTTTCTATTACAGAGTTTAATCCACATATCTGACAAGCAAAAGAGGAATAAAAATGATGGTTATGGAAAATTAATCAAATAAAGTGCCAAATGACTTTCATCAGCTAGCACATGCATCTCATAACACATTTAAAGAGATCTATTGCATTATGCAGATATATCTGCACAGGTCCACGTTGTGCCTACTTGTTACTTCGTGCCCAGAACATAAGCCTAATTTAATATCTGTTTTGAACTGCATACAAATGTTCATTAACCTGATAGACAAACACAAAATGTTTGATCTCATGAAGCTGTCTTGAGTCAGCTGTTGAAGTTGAGCATTCATTTCCTAACTCTGATGAGTTCAGGAGTTCTAGGATGAAAGCAAATGATTTGGATGGATGGATGTATATTTTGGCTTTTTTTCTGTGCATATTTCCTGATGATCTGAATGTTATCAAGTGTTACATTTCTGTGATTTTTTAAAATTGAATTAAATATGCCTTGTGCTAATAAAGGTCTAACAGCTTTTCTTTATTGTTTCTTTTTCTCTCTAGGTATCCCCAGTATTTCCAGTATTGGTAGTAAGTAAAAAAAAAAAAAAAAAAAAATCGCCCAACTAAGCCTAGACTAGCTTTGCTTTGTTGTTCAGTTCCTCGGATCTATTTCCCCAGTGTCCATTTCTGATGTAAGAGAGCATTTCCTTTGTGAATTGAATTGTTGTATTTGTTCTCTGTACAGATATGATGAGAGCACAGATAAAATAGTTATCTATGTAGAACTCTTCTGTGGATATGGCAGTGCCACAGCCTTCCTGACTACTTTTGATCAATGAAGGCTACCTTTATAGAGATGCAATTACTTAGGTAACCTTAATTCATTTAGCAAAAATATAAACAATCCTATTTACCAATGCTTAGTAACCAACAAACAAATTGCACTCTCTCACTAAGACTGGATATAGATTTCTCCCATAATTTAGAAAAGCAGAGAATGGATGCCAGTGAATGCTTCAGGCATATTCATTAGAACCCAAGGAAAATGCCATGAAACCCAGGGGAGGGGATTTTATTAATGCATTAAACTTTAGTCTTTGTGAAGGCCTGAAAGAAGCAGGTTTGTGATCATTAGTCTTTCTGGAGGAATGAAGGAAAAAAAATACTCAGTCTGTCAATTTCTCCCTCCTAAAATGCAGTGATCCGGGTTTTTCTGACTACTTAGGTTAAGTTTGCCAGAGAAGGGATATAAAAAAATACATGCAGAGTTTAGGAGTCAGGCTACTAGAAATGTCTGCGAGAAATCTTTTAATAGAAATGTAAGCAATTGAAAGAGAAATGCCTCTTCACCCTCTATGGAGCACTTGTCCAATCCCATTGCAAAAAGCATTCTCCCAGATATTATGGGAGAATCGGACTGTAGCTTCCTCTTCACGCAGAAAACAATGACACTCCAACATAAGCCTGAAATGCTCATTAAGGAAATGCCCTAGAACTTTTCAGAGGAGAATCTCACATATTTTTATACATCGCACTCTCTCTCTCTGATGGCTAAAACCTTTGCACAGCTGCTGAATAACTGATTGGAAAAAGTACTCCGGAAGCCAAGGTGGTGCACTGTAAGTGAAGAGAAGAATTTTCACTGTGGTCTCACCCCTCACAGGCTTTGTCATATGAGCTGCGCCACACAGGGTGATTGCAAGGTAATGGCAGCAGCCGAAGCATCACAATACTCAACATTCATCTCAAAAGCAATACTCTGAAAACTTCCCACTTCTTATAAATGCACTGTCAGGTCTTCCAATTTGTCAATCAACCCAGTTTACTTAAGCTTGTGAACAGGCCTGGACACAGATTTGTTAAGCGTTCCATGTGTTAAATTCCACGAAAATGAGCCACTCTGTAAATAGAAGTAGTGTTCACATCTGTTTAGAGTCTCGCCTAATGCTCCAGCATCCTCTTTGTGCTCCTGTTAAGAAGACATCAGTGCTACATGCTTGCCACTGGAAACCTTCACCTCTAAAAGTCTAATTTTTCGGCTTTAGTGTCTCCCTTGGTTTTCGCCTGACACCCCACAATGTGTTCCTTTCAGGCCTTGACAACCGCATTTGCAAGTGCAGTTTAGAGCCAAAGGGAACCACCTGGAAGGGAGCTTGGGCAGGTTATTGAGGCTGCTGTGGCGATGTGGCTAGGCAAAGGTTTCAGAAATGGACAGCTGGGAAGTAGCTCTGTGGTGCTGGGTGTGTTTCTGTTCCGAGTGTCAGTCGCGTGTTGCATGGAACCTCTGACTGGTCTGCTCACTCGGCATCTCATCCGGCTGCCTCCACCACATGCCCCGTCTCTGAGCATCAGCAGATGTTGACCTTTTACACACCGAATGGGGAAATTCCATTTTGGTTTGCTTTGTTTTATTTTTGAATCATTGGTGACCTGAAAGGATGCTTTGTTGTGCCTCTGGAAAACAGATTAACCTTTATCCTCAAGAACCTAGGAAAATGTAGGTCCTTGACACCTACCCCAAACGCTCTAACAAAGTGATAGCTTATGCCCTGCCTTCATTACACCTCTGGCTGTGGTGCTTGGGGAGCAGCGGGTGCTTCCTCAGATTTTTGTAGCAAACAGGATGTAAGAATGTACAGGGGTCACCCAACATCACACATGACAAGCTTGCTTGTTGCCCAGCTTTAAGGTCAAGAGGTTTATGATAAAACCATCCAACATGATTGTATCTCCCAGGCTGCTTTAATGGCATCGTTCCTTCTTTGTGGGTTCATAAGGTGGTCGTGGGCACTGGTGGATTACTTTCTTCTCCGAAGGGCAAGAATTCATGCATAGGTGACTCACTGCCTGTTCTAGAGGGCACAGGACGGGGGTTTCCAAGGTACCAGCCAGAGCGGAGGGAGTTGCTTAGCCAGGGCTTTTCCCCTTTTCCCAAAGAAGGAATCAATGAACACAACTCCAGCAAGTCTGCAAAGATGCCATTATAACAGAAGTAGCGCTCACGAGGCCCATCATCAAAGCGCATCTCAAGGAAAATGAATGATGTATATTATTGATGTAAATTATTGATGTATGTAACCATAAGTTCACATACATATACTATATGCACAATGACTAAATCTTTTGGAGCCCTAATAGATTTCAGGATAGATCTCCAACTGTCAACGCCTGTACTGAGTTTCAAATGCATACACAGAGGGGTCATCCTTTCCGATCATCTGCTAAAAATGTTTTTGAAACAAATTTCCCATTAAAGTCATTTGTACCTGCTGTTGTCTATCTATTAGGAGATAGGTTTTCCAATCATCCCAAAGGCACTTGATTTAAAACTCAGTCATTTTGATGTGCTTTGCCCATGGCTGAAAAAATACTGGTGATATTGTCAGCAATTAATGAATCCCAAAATAGATCTGTCGCCATTTGAGCCTTGTGATCTCTGTTTTAACTTTACCTGATGTAGTAGTCGTTCATTTAGGTTTCTTTCTTTATATAAAATGTATCATGCATTTATAAGTGGATAACAATTTTATCCAAGTGAACATTTTTTTGGTGCTGATGATCCAAATTAATAGTTGGTTTGGTGTGGGGTTTTTTTGTTAAAGTGATAAACTAATCATTACCTTCTAACATATGCTATGTGACTCTTAGTCCTGAAAAAAAAGCAAGTGATTTCACTCATTATATTAAACAATGTATTACAAAGATCATAGTTAAAACAACAGGAATTGACCTAATGTGCAAATAGCTTCGTGAGGGGGATTGTCACTTAAGAAAGCAGAGGACAGATGAGCCAGTTTAAAGTAGATCATCCACTGAAATGAAAGAGCATATCAGGAAACACCGTTTCAAAAACGTGAAATTTTAAAATAAATCATAATATTTCTTAAGACAAAAACAAAAGAAGAGAGATGTAAACATTCTGTGAACCTGATATACATTAATTCCTTAAATTACTTTCAGATGTTTGACATCACAGTATGAAAAGCATAGAATACTAATGGAGGTATTTGGCTGTCCTCTCCTCTCCAGCTTATTCAATTTGAAACAATAGTTCACTTAAGGGAAATAATCCATTTTCCTCCTTTCTTTTATAATAAGCATTTGCCTTCATCACAGAGCTGAAAGTTCATCTCTAATTTGATTTAATTGGCAGGACCATTCAACAAGAGAACTGTGACCTGCAGGGACCCATCAGCCTGTTGAGAAAGCCCTGAGATGTTTTCATACTTGAAAACGTTTGATGCCAGTTGGAGACCTTGTAAAAGTTGTTTTCCATACAGCATCCAAATATTTTTGTTCACTGCCGATTTACCGTAGAAACCTGAATTGTGAGGAAAATAACAAGGTTAATCATTTTCCCACCCAAGGGTTATGGGTAATTGTGCATGCTACTCAGAGAGCTGCAGTTGTTTGTTTTTTTCCCTTTGCTTTAATACTTCTAAATCCCCTAAATAAAAGTTTCATTTGAATTGCCCTTTAACTAATTAGGTTTTATATAATGAGGGAAAAAATGATCCGGCTAGTGTAGCTATACGACTAATTGTGTGGTGAGCTACACTAATTTTGAACTGTTTGCTGATGTTCTAGAAGGAAAGCTAAGGTCCCAGGTGAAATGCCTTTGGGACTTTGGTCTGTCACATACCTGGTATCCTCATCACAGATCCATTTCATATTTGTGTAACTAGCATTTCACATTCATGAAACCTTTGTGGCTATCCTAAAACTGAATGAACATTAGGACATAGCTGCTTCTTTAATTTTAAAGAATAAGTCAAATATTTCAATGAAGGAGGAGGAAATTTGATTTAAAGAATAAATCAAATATCCCCTACCTTAAGAAAAATAAAAAGAAATGCATGAGGTTTAGCAGTCTTTAATGACAACAATTTCCCACCTTGAGCAAATTCATTTTTTTCATGTATTACTCTTTTGCCAGGTGAATTTAAGTGTGAGCTGGTATCTGTACATTTGCTATTATCTTTGTGTGGGGACATCTGAAAATTCCTATCTTAAAGGTTTGCCAAGAACTCTGAAAGGTCCTAGGATGAACCTGTTGATTCCAGATTTGACCCGTTTCTGTGCAGGGAGCTTTAGTGTCCTGGAGAAAAACAGAAATTCATTTTCTGGTACCTCATTGTGTTGTCAAAGGAAGTTACCAGCATCACATCTGAGAGGAGAAGATAGCGGACTGTGACCCTCCCCACATAAAAATATGCCCTTCCTCTAGCACCAAACATCCTTAATATGCTGAGGAAGAGGAGAAATGTATAGATGTCAAATATACAGAGGGGGCCAAAAAGATGTATACATATTTTAAGAAAGGAAAAATCTATTAAAATTGTAATACTCAATATATCCCGATAACAAAAGATAAATACAAGTCACGTTTGACTTCTGCCATGACAAGAGGTGCTCAAAGTGGTTACCATCAGTGTCCAGACACTTCTGATTACAATGAACTACTGCTTGAGCAACATTGACCAAACGGTCCACTTGTATACATTTTTTGGCATCCCTGGTATTATAAAATATGGGACAGTTCATGAAATTAGCTATGCAAATTACAAAACATGTTTGTATATATTCTG